AGACAAATCAAGGGGCTTGTTTGAGAAAACAGATTCAGGGCATTTCCCACCCAAGTGAACAGAGGGAGACCGGTTAATCAAGTAGACAGCAGTATTGACTGCTTCACCCCAAAACTTTTTAGACAAACCGGAGGTAGCAAGTATACTCCTAAACTTATATAGAACAGTCCTATTCATTCTCTCGGCTATCCCATTTTGTTGGGGAGTATAGGGCACACTTTTGTGCCTTCTAATCCCACAATCAACACAGAGTTGTTCCATATCCTTATTGCAAAACTCTAATCCATTATCGGTCCTAAGTGTTTTGACTTTCTTACTAGTTTGATTTTCTACAAGGTTCTTCCACTCCCTAAACTTCACAAAGACATCGGACTTATGCTCAAGGAGACGGACCCACACCTTCCTAAACAAATCATCGATAATGGACAAAAAATATCTCTTACCCTCGTGGGTAGAAATACTAGCAGGACCCCAAACATCAACATGAACATACTCTAACACAGAGGTACACTTATTGGGATTAGGATAAGGGGAGGAAGGAAAAGTAACTTTATGTTGCTTGCCTAACACACAAGATTCACAGAAAGGGATGGAGGATACAGAATCCTTACCAAAACAACCATATTTATGCAAAATCTCTAAACCCTTATTACTCATGTGTCCTAATCTATTATGCCACAAAGCAGTTTTATCAGAACTAACAACATGAACAGAATCACAGAAAGGCTGAGCATGGCACACATACAAATTATTCACCTTTTTTGCCTTAAACAAAACAAGGGAATTTTTCAAAACTTTCATGCACCCATTTCCCCATTTATCCTCAAGCCCACTACCCTCAAAAGCAGCGACAGAAAACAAGTTATGACGCAAATCAGGAACATGCCTCACATTTTCATAGTAAACACAGTCCCATTATCAAACTTCAAGCATACATCACCCACCCCATGTATTTTGCATTTCTTATTATCAGCAAGAGACACAAAACCATCATTCCAAGAATCATAAGAAGCAAACAGAGATCTAAAAGGTGTCATATGATAAGTACAACCAGAGTCAATCAACCACTCATTTTCAGTCATGCTACTCAACACAGAATTGGCAAAATCACAGACCATAAAAACTTCATCATGCAAGTTATTATCATCTACAACATTAGCATGTTCAGGTTTCTTAGAGTGAGGACAATCCTTAATAAAGTGGCTAGAATTCCCGCAATTATAGTACACTCTCTTCTTAGACTTACCTCTTCTTACCCGGGTCATTATTATTGTTTTGGTTCTTAGTGTTGCTACCCTTCTTATGGTTTTTAGATCTACTCTTAAACCTACCCCTCACAAGCAACGCTTCACCAGAGTCTCTAGATTGACTGTTACTACCCCTCGAGTGTCTAAGGTCTAAATCCTGACTTCTTAATCCATTAACCACTATATCTAACGAGATATCGTCTCTACCATACTTTATGGCAGATTTGACGTCATTGTAAGAGTCAGGGATGGCATTAAGTAACACTATGGGTGTGTAGTCATCTATGTGTTTATCACTGGCTTGCTTAATGTTCTGGATAAGCTTGTTAAACACATCTAGGTTCTCATCTATGTCTTTAGTCACGTCAAGCCTAAATCTAAAGAACTTCTCAAGCAAAAACAATTTACCAGGCAAAGAAGTATCGGTATACAACTTATCTAACTTGTCCCACAGCTCCTTTGCAGAATCTATAATACCCACTTTCCTAAGCACTGAATCAGAAAGGTTTAGGTAAATAGAGGAACAAGCAGTTTCATTCATTTCAACGCGCTTTGCAGCATCTTCGTTGTCTAAATAGAGACCAGTCACAGCTCTATAGACTTTCTGTTGGATCAACACGCATTTTGATTTTCTGTTTCCATATATCAAAATCTGTCTTTCCGTTAAATGGAAGCATGCCATATTGATTGACAACCATTTTAACGAGAAAGCAAGCACAACACGCAAGAGAGTAGATAAAATTTATCAGGCTACGAACAGTACGAAGCAAATAGCACGAACAAGCTGAGAAGACCAATGAACACAAAGCTCGGGTACAATCTCGTTGTTCTTTCGTACAAGCACAGATAAATTGATATTTACTCAACAGATAGATAAGTGATTGATTATGACCTATAGGGCTCTGAATTGTACGAAGCAACTAGCACGAACACACCGAGAAGACCAATGAGCACAAAACTCGGGTACAATCTCGTTGTTCTTTCGTACAAGCACAAATAGGCTAAAATTAATCAACAAGCAATGAAACTAGATTAAAACTAAACCGGGCAGAAATATTCACAACTTCGGACAACAAGTATCCAAACAAATATTCTTATCCAGAAAGTTTATCCACGAATCAATCAACAGAAAAAATCAAAAAACAAAATCCAACACGTGATTAAATTTAATCCGGAAGAAATATTCACAACTTTGGACAACGAGTATCCAAACAAAATATTCTTCACCGGAAAATTAATTCACGATTCAACAAACAAATAATCACACTTCAAATTGCAATTAAAATGAATGAAATACGAATAATAATCACACAAAGGATTAAGAACGCGTACCTGGGGCCGGACACAGCCGACATCCTAGACCACGTAGGTCACCAGCGGGGGAGCGGAGGGAAATTAATCCGGTGGCACTCCGGTACACCAAGAGGAAGAGTTAAAGCCAATTTACCTGAGCGGGGCCCGAGATTGGGTTACCCGACTTACCGTATGCAGCGTGGGCTGGTGTAGAGCACGACGGCAGCGGACTGGACGACGTGGCAGCACGTCCCTGGCGACAGCAGACAGGACAACAGCTTTGGCTCCGGAAGAGGCTGTGGACGGCAGCTTGGGCTCCTCCAGTGACCTTCAATCGATGGCAGCAGCACTCCCTGGACCTCGGGCAGGCAACTCCAGGCGGCGGGACGGCGGCGTGGCGACGGCAGACCTTCAATGTCTCTGATACCGCTGTAAGAACTAGTTTCCAGCTCAGGTCTCAACTTTATATCCACAAAGGATACCAATTTCACCACTAGAATCAACAAAGGGAGATTATGGGCAACAACCAACAAGGTTTTCCGCCCAATTTGTCCCAGCACCCACAGAGAGGCTATAGGTGCGAAAAAGGGGGAGAGACTAGGGTTCGGCCAACGTCCCCGTCCATTGGCATAGAGGGAAGATTATATAGGCGAACTGCATAAGCAAAATATGGTAACTTGCCTTAGAAAAGGATACGCAGTCAATGGCGCATAGGGAATGAAGGTAACGCAATAGGAAAGCTGATCGGTAGAGCAGATCAAAAAGGGGCTAGGTAAAACCAAGTGTAAATGGGCTGGGAACCACCTCAATTGAATCGGGCTTACAGAAATACTGGGCCAATACCTAACACAAACACCCCTTAAATCTCACATCCCCAACTACATAAGATTCTGAATTGAAATAAAACATATTGTTGGACTAAATACTTTCACAATGCTAAACGGAATCTCACAATCCTTTTTGTCTATAGGTGCCGAAAAACATTTAAGGTGCACATTTTATTTTAATGGAGCTTGCAGTTTAGCAGGTAGATGCGTGCATTTTATTTTAATCAAATCTCACTATATATCTGCTTCCTTCAATACCCTATGATCTATATGTGCCCAACATAAGTCACACAATAAGTCCTTATTGTCTACTGAAATTATTAAGAAGTATTGAAATTCCCTTGATATGATTTCTTATGACATGCTGAATAGGTCATATCATGATTTCTTGTTGTCAATCGAGTAGTTGAATGAAATTGGGAAGAACATGATGAAATGTAATGCCATCCCTTACATTACGATCTCAATTTGTTATACAAAAGTAAAATGAGCGACCAAGATGAAAAGATTTAGGATGAAATGGTTAGATCATGGTTTGAATGAGATGCCAAAGTCTAATGTCATGATTATGAGCATGCAATGTGGGGATGATCATCTAAGCGTTAATATATTTCTCTTCAAAATAGATTGTAATGTATTTTCATCTTTTCAATAAACAATCTTGAAAAAGGTAGTTTATCCATAGATTTTTTTGATAGATAGACTCATGTTTGTTCTTTTTGCATAAATGGATTCATATTGCTTAGCAAGCAGTATATATTTAGTAAATAAAAGTTTCTGAAATACAAGTGAGAGGTTGCCTATTTTGAAATTTTGATATTTTACTACCAAATTTTGAAATTTTGAATATTTAGAAATGACATTAATGTATTTTTCAAGTATCACAATAATTATTTACATTCATCGGATAATTACTTAGTAATCTCTCCGTTTCATTGAACGCTCTCACTTTCCCTTTTTGAACGTCCCATATAAAGATTCACATTTCTATTTTAGGAAACAATTTAAAATTTTAAGTGATAATTTAATCATTAAATATTAAAATTAATATTATATACCTATCAAAATTATTTTTCCAAATATATTCAAATAATATTTTTAACTATTGTCTAAATAACCTTACCGCTTTGCCATGAAAACCTTTCAACGAGATGGTAGTAGTACTTTGATATCCAAAGAAATCGAATCACCATTCAACGTAATTTTTTAAATATTTTTTCAAATTGATGTTTTTAATTTTTTAAGTTTTTGTCTCAGATCAGACCACGACAAACGAGAGCTAAATAGACGAGGTCACTTTAACAATTATAAAATACACATGAAACAATCCGATGGGCGTATCTCAACTAGTACTCTGGTAGCGAGAGAGTGCTACAAGGGTTAGGTCCCGGGTTCAAATCCCGCCAAATGCGATAAGAGGTTACTATGCTAAAAAATGCATAGGGTCAGATTGATATTATAGTTCAACTTACATCCTCTCAACGTACCGTTCGGTCGGGTTAATACACATAGAAATAAACATTTATATATTAAATCACATAAGTCAGATTAAATTTCAATTTCAATATACCATTTTGAATCCAATTAAAACTTGAGTTGACATCGTGCCACTGTTCCAACTTCTAATAAGAAACTCAGAAAATCCTTACCCGTCTTCGAATCATGTTCTTACCTATAAAACTCAGAAAATGATTCATTGCATAAATAAAAGTATATATAAAACTAAAAAGCAAAACGAAGAATGATCCCAGACACTAGTTCTACGGTAGGACCAAGGGACACAGAATAACTAGGCGGAGATGGAATTGCCCCCGCCGGAGCCGGCCCTTCTAGAAGACTTCGGTCAGAAAGTTGATCTGACTCGCAGGATCCGGGAGGTGTTACTGAATTATCCAGAAGGTACCACTGTGCTGAAGGAGCTTATACAGAACGCCGATGACGCTGGCGCCACCAAACTTTGCCTTTGCCTTGATCGCCGCTCTCATGGAACCGAGGCTCTGCTCTCTGATCGCCTAGCTCAGTGGCAGGGCCCGGCCCTGCTGGCTTACAACGACGCCATTTTCACGGATGAAGATTTTGTTAGTATCTCCAAGATTGGAGGTAGTGCGAAGCATGGGCAGGCTTGGAAGACCGGTCGGTTCGGGTATTGCCATTAATTAACACCGCGGCTGTTTAAATTTGTTTTATACCCGTCTTGAATATGCAATATGTGTAAAATGCTTATACCGCACAAATGTAGAATGTATATGTACATTGGGCGACGCAAAGCCCCCTCTCCTCATTTAGTTGCGGGTATATGGGTTTCACCATATATAGAAGTCAAAATGTAGGGTAGTGAATATTATAGAAAATGTAAAAGAATTAGGTAAGAGTGGATGAAAAATTTAGAAAAGATAAATGCGGAAGTAAATATATAACTACACAGTTCCTTTTTATAGGATGGTTCATGGTTGTTGCCAAAAATGGACAGTAGAGCAAGTAAAAGTGAATAAATGCTCTATCATAAAAAAGCTATTCATGCAAACATTTAGGAAACAAAAAACACTAAAAATAAAAATAAATAGTACCCTCACCGTTCCATAAAGAGTTCTATTTTAAAAGCTATTTTATGTGTAAAAAAGTCCTGTTTCATAGAGTTAAGATAAATTTTCTAGAATCTTGAAATAACAGCGTAAGGCGGTTTAGTATGTCAATATTTAGCTAAAGACCTAAAGGTCCTAAAGTATTTAAACAGTTCCACTTCCTAAAGTATCATTTACCATTTATAATAGTGGCATATTGTCAAAATTTTAAAACTATACATTGTATAAACATGAGTCTTTTAAGGGACGGTGTGAGGATTAAATATATCTATCATCCATTGGGTACAGGGGGTGGGATGGGCAAAAATGAAACTTACTAGAACAGTACATGCAAACTATATATACATATTGCGTATTTCTGAAAAAGTTAGAGGTTGGTTGGGAAAAAAGAAATAAAAAAATGTTTTTAAAAAGGCAGGTTTAAAAGTCATGGCATCCTATTATTTTGAATATTATTGGACATTTAATTTCTTTTATTGCAGGTGGCATTAAGTGGGAAGTGCTTGTCCTAAATCATATGTTTGTCAACGCTATTTTGTATGAGTATTGATGCCATAATTATATGACAGTATGACCCAATACTAACAATGATTTTCATGGTTGTGTATAGGAATACTGAGGGGTGGATACATTTTTTTGAAAGTTTTTTATCCCATTTATTTAAGCCATGAAGTGCTTCTCAAAAGTTTTATTTGTTCTCATAACTCAAATACACATGCCAAAGAATGAAATATGGACTGCTTTGTTTTATATAACATGCTACTTTATGCCTGATTAACACCGATTTGATCTGATCCATTTGTATTTATTTATTTAAAGACCCAGTCTCAGACTGCAACTTGTCTAGATTAAGAGTGTTACGAAAACATAATCTTTTGTTTAGTTCTTTGTGCATTTATTGATCTCACGTGTTGCTGCTGTTTTCTTTCAGGGTTGGTTTCAACTCAGTCTACCATCTAACTGACTTGCCATCCTTTGTCAGTGGCAAATATATTGTACTATTTGACCCTCAGGGCGCTTACCTTCCAAATGTATCAACCGCAAATCCTGGGAAGCGTATTGAGTATGTTTCTTCTTCAGTTATCTCATTGTATAAAGATCAGTTAGATCCATACATCGCTTTCAATTGTGACATGAAAAATCCTTTCCGTGGAACTTTATTTCGTTTCCCGTTGAGGAATGCAGATCAAGCTGCTACTAGTATGCTCTCAAAGCAAGCCTATTTGGAAGATGACATCGCCTCCATGTTTGGTCAGCTCTATGAGGAAGGAGTGTTCTCTCTCCTGTTTCTTAAAAGTATACTTTCTATAGAAATGTATGAGTGGGATATAGACATGCCTGAACCTAGAAAGACATACTCCTGCTCAGTGAACTCAGATGAATGTGATATAGTTTGGCATCGGCAGACTCTTATGCGGCAATCAAAAGAAACCACTTTTGTAGATTGCGATGATAAGTTCAAACTAAATTTCTTAACTGAGGCATTTACTGGAAAATTGTCTGAGCAGAGAACAGACACATTCTACATGGTGCAAAAAATGGCATCATCAACAAGTAGGGTTGGATCCTTTGCAGCTGCTGCATCAAAAGACTTTGATATTCGTCTTTTACCTTGGGCATCTGTGGCAGCATGTATATCAGATAATTCAAACAATGTAACGTGCAACACTTTAGTAATTCTCGCACATTCTTTACTCCCTACTCCTTCCCCAACACTCCCTATTCATCATACCCCCCTCATGACAACCCTGTCCATTCATTCTCTTGGTTAGGAAGGGAAAAGCTCAAAATTTGAAATCCTAGATTTTGAAAGAGCTCAAACGAGCCACATGGCATTTTTGCTTTAGCCTCATGAGGCATAAGTCTCACATGTAAAGTAGATATTACTTACAAAAGTTCATACAATTCAACATCAAGTGACTGTCACTTTTAACATTCCCCATTTCACGTCAAAGTGATCATACATAGGCTCTGCACTTGTATAAAAAATATTTAACCTGGGACCTTTAAGAGATTTACCAAAGACATCTGCAAGATGATTATCTGAAGCGGAAAGTGCTGTTATAATTTCTCTCAATGCAACAATTTCTCCAACAAAGTGACAGTGAACTTCATTTTGTTTAGTTCTTTCATGAGACAATAGTTTTCTTACAGTAATTCCACATCAGAAGATTTTATTAGACATCTGACGATTCTGATAGCAACATCTCATTGACTTGTACCCAGTGAGTTTTACACAGGGATTGGAGGCACTAAGGGACAATACCTTCCCTTGTTTAGTTTGCAGGATAAGGCTTGTAGTAAAATAATCACTTTCTATCCAATGTCAACTTTGCAGGATAAGGCTTGATAGTAATATAATCACTTTCTATCCAATGTTTACTTTGGGGGGTTCCTTATCTCAGGCTTGACCCACACCCTTGATAAATAAAAAAACAAGGGACTATTGTCGTAAATCTCACCCTTGAGATAGGTTAAAACTTAAAATTACTGAAAGTTCTACCCATTTATGTAAAGAAAGTTTATTTGGTTGAGTATAAATGTATATTTCCTTGACTAAGGAAATGCCACTGAAACAATGTCATCTCAATAGCTCATATAATCAATAAGAAACAATTACTAAAAGCTCTTCCTGGCTCACACGGAAAATACAGTGTACTTCTAAGTTCATACATAAATTTTCTCATAGTAAATAAGGAACTGTTACTTTAGTATTTCTGAATTTTGATGTTGTGTCTGTGTGTCCGTGTGTGTACTATGTATGCACGTACGTACCCTACAGTAGACTTGACCCGATACAAACCCCATACATCTATATGAAATAAAAAAGGTGCAGTTTACCTCACACTGATACATTAGATATAGATCTATTAAACATATTATGCGAGATACTTAAAAGGTCACTAAGTCCAAACCAGGCTGAACAACTTGAAGAGTAGATAGATGGGTTAAGCTGACTCCAAAATGAGCTACCACAAACCATGAGCGCCAAACAAACAAACAAACAGTTCGGAATAGGCTTTGATACCATATGAAAGTATAAGCCTTTTATTAATCTATAGAACTACAAAAGGATTGGACCACTAGTGTATTAGGTATATGGATAAGACCACACATTTGGGGCTTCCCATACAAGGCGAGCTAACCCACTACAACTAGGGCTAGGTTAGGGTGTTGTCAGTATCATATACCCATTAGTTGACTTGTAACATGTGCCCAGTTACACACATTAGAAAACCCCTTTTACTGTTTCTTTTGTAAAAGTTGATATTTGATGTTTATATTTTACATTTCTTTTGGGTAGATGTTTAGTTTTGCTGTGTTTAAACTTGGTAGTACAATTAGGAGAGAAAGGTTTTCGCACGAAGTTGATGTAGCAGTAGCAGCATGAAAGTGGAATTGGTGAAACGATATGCATTTTAGAATGTAGTTACTTTAATGAACTCTTAAATGTTTTGTTCTTGGTCTGTTTCATCTAGAAGTGGGACTGGCTATGAGTTGAGATTTCTGTGCATCAATTTCTTATACTTCGTAATTAGGCTCAAGGTTGTGTTTGTTGGGTGATAGTATATCCTTGTGATCCATTGCTAGCAATGATGTATGTTGCTTCTGGATTTATTTGTTTTATGTCCTACTTCTTCAGCTGTTTGTCATTCTCTCATCCTCTTGTAACAGGATGGTGTTCTTCAAGGTCGGGCTTTCTGTTCCCTCCCTTTGCCCATCAAAACAGGATTATATGTACAAATAAATGGATTTTTTGAAGTCTCATCAAATCGACGTGGCATTTGGTATGGGGGAGATATGGATAGATCTGGTAAAGTTCGTTCTCTCTGGAACAGGCTTCTCTTGGAAGATGTTGTTGCTCCTTGTTTTGTTCAATTACTCCTTAGTGTTCAACAGATACTTGGTCCAACTAAGATTTATTATTCTTTATGGCCCAATGGTTCATTCAATGAGCCATGGGATATTTTAGTTCAGCACATTTACAAAAGCCTCAGTGACTTACCTGTCTTCTTCTCCACTGTCGATGGGGGGAAATGGGTTTCGGGTACCAAAGCTTTCCTTCATGATGAGGAATTCTCAAGTAAAGAGCTTGAAGAAGCTCTTTTACAGCTACACATGCCTATTGTTCACTTGCCGAATGGTTTGTTTGATATGTTAGTGACCCGTGTCTGTGGTATCCAGTGGCTGGTAGTTACCCCAGATTCTGTACGTCAGTATCTCAAGGGTTGTAAACAAATCAACTCGATTGATAGGCCACACAGGTTGATGCTGCTTGAGTATTGCATTCAGGATTTGGTTGATGCAGATGTCGGCAAGCATACAGTTGGCTTACCTTTGCTCCCTTTAGCAAATGGTGACTTTGGATCATTTTCAGAACCTAATGGTGGAACCTCTTATTTTATTTGCAATAGATTGGAATACACACTTCTTCGAAGTGCTGTTGATAACATTATTGACTACGAAATTCCTTGCCACATATTAAATAGACTGTTGGCTGTCGCAAATGCATCAGGGGCAAACCTCTTTTCATTTAACATTGATGAATTTCTTACATTATTACCAAATTTTTTCCCAGCTGAATGGAGATATAAACCTAAAGTTTCTTGGGAGCCAGACTCTGATACCGCTAACCATCCCAGTTCTTCATGGTTTAAGCTTTTCTGGCAATACATCAGGGATGAATGTGAGAAGCTATCCACTTTTGAAGATTGGCCTATATTACCATCACTTTCTGGCTATTTGTATAGACCATCAAAGCATGTGAAAATGTTGAATTCAGACAAATTATCTGAACAGATGCGGCATATTTTACTTAATATTGGGTGCGTGTTGCTAAACACACAATGGGGTATTGACCACCCTGATATGTATCCTTATGTGTATGAAGCTGATTGTGTCGGAGTTTTGAAGTCTATCTTTGATGTTGCCTCTTCAAGTCACAACAATAGACAGACATTTCTTCAAAACCTGGAAGCTGCACAAAGAGATGAGCTGCGTAGGTTCCTTTTGGATCCAAAGTGGTACATCGGTAATTATGTGGATGATTCTGACATAGAAAATTGCAAGAGGCTACCTATCTACAGAGTTTATGGTGGGGGGTCTTCTGAAAATATTCAGTTCTCCAATTTGGTAAACCCTAAAAAATACTTGCCTCCCCTGGATTGTCCTGAGTGCCTCTTTTCTGGTGAGTTCATTATCAGTTCTTCGAGTACTGAAGAAGAGGTACTAACTAGATATTTTGGAACTAAACGAATGGGGAAGCCGGAATTTTATAAGCTACATGTGGTTACCAAGATCAATGAATTAGACCCTAATGTTCGTGACAGCATCATGCTTTCAATTCTGAAAGAGTTACCACAACTGTGCTGTGAAGATATATCTTTTAGAGAGATACTGAAAAATTTGAATTTTATTCCCACATCTGGCGGCTCTTTAAAGAGTCCAGCTGTGCTATACGATCCACGGAATGAAGAACTATATTCTCTTCTTCAAGATTCTGATTCCTTTCCTTCCGGTGCTTTCAATGACTTTGATGCTTTGGAGATGTTAAAAGGTTTGGGTCTTAGGACTACTGTGTCTACTGAGGCACTCATACAGAGTGCTCAGGAAGTTGAGCTGTTAATGCACAGGAATCAAGAAGTGGCTCAATCTAGAGGCAAAGTACTTCTGTCATATCTTGAAGTGAATTCAATGAAGTTGCTACATGGTCCTCCCGAAGATAACCAACTAACGATGAACAGATTGTTTACCAGAGCTGCTAATGTGCTTAAACCTCTCTCTATAAGATCTGACTTTGAAAAGTTTTGGAATGACCTTCGCCTTATTTCTTGGTGCCCAGTTCTTGTTCATTCTCCATACCAGTCTTTGCCATGGCCTGCTGTATCTTCTATGGTTGCTCCTCCTAAGGTCGTAAGGCCATATGCAGACTTGTGGCTTGTTTCTGCCAGCATGAGAGTACTGGATGGAGAATGCTCCTCTTCAGTTTTATCTAATCAACTTGGTTGGTCCTCCCCACCTGGTGGAAGTATAATCGCGGCTCAACTTCTTGAACTTGGAAAAAATAATGAGGTTGTTTTTGATCCAGAGCTTCGTCAGGAATTGGCTTTAGCAATGCCTAGGATATACTCTATACTGTCAGCCATGCTTGGTTCAGATGAAATGGACATTGTAAAGGCTGTTTTAGAGGGTTGCCGATGGATTTGGGTGGGTGATGGATTTGCCACCCCAGATGAGGTTGTCCTGAACGGACCACTTCATTTAGCTCCTTATATGCGTGTCATACCTATTGATCTAGCAGTTTTCAAAGACTTGTTCTTTGAGCTTGGCATTCGGGAGTCATTGAGACCTAGTGATTATGCTAGTATATTATGTCGAATGGCTAATAGAAAAGGTGCCCTTCCCTTGGATGCTCAGGAAATTAAGGCTGTCATATTGATCGCACAACATCTGTCTGATGTACAGCTTTATGAAGATAAAATTAAGATCTATCTCCCTGATTTGTCATGTCGGTTGTTTAATGCTACAGATCTGGTCTATAATGACGCTCCCTGGTTGCTTGATTCAGACAATCCTGACTCCACCAGTGGGTCTACCATGCCCTTACATTCAAAACAATTTGTCCAAAGATTTGTGCATGGAAATATTTCCAATGATGTAGCCGAGAAGCTTGGGGTAAGATCTTTTCGAAGGATGCTTCTTGCAGAGAGTGCAGATTCTATGAATATGACCTTATCTGGTGCTGCTGAAGCATTTGGTCAACATGAGTCATTGACAACCAGACTGAGACACATCCTTGAAATGTATGCTGATGGGCCTGGAGTTCTCTTTGAACTAGTGCAAAATGCTGAGGATGCAAATGCAACAAAGGTGACATTTCTATTGGATAAGACTCAGTATGGGGCCTCATCTGTTCTCTCTCCTGAAATGGCAGATTGGCAGGGCCCTGCATTGTACTGCTTCAATGATTCGGTTTTCAGTGCCCAAGATTTGTATGCAATCTCTCGTGTTGGTCAGGAAAGTAAACTTGAGAAACCATTTTCTATTGGAAGGTTTGGACTGGGATTTAATTCTGTTTATCACTTCACAGATATTCCAACTTTTGTTTCTGGGGAAAATGTTGTTATGTTTGATCCTCATGCCTGTAATTTGCCTGGGATATCTCCTTCCCACCCTGGTCTGCGAATCAAGTTTGTGGGAAGAAGAATATTTGAACAATTCCCTGACCAATTCTCCCCATTTCTTCATTTTGGCTGTGATCTCCAAAATCCATTCCAGGGTACCCTTTTCCGTTTCCCTCTCCGGAATGCTACTGCTGCGTTGAGAAGCCAAATCAAGAAAGAAGTTTATGAACCCGATGATGTCCTAGATCTTTTTGCTTCATTTTCTAGAGTTGTTTCTGAGACTTTGCTTTTCTTAAAAAATGTGACAAATATCTCCATTTTTGTGAAGGAACGGGCTAACAGTGAAATGCAGTTGATACATTCAGTTCAAAAGCAATATATTTGTGAGCCTGAAGGTGAAAATGATTCATTTCATCATGTGTTTGGCCTGATATCTAAGAATCAGACTAACATGGATAAGGCTCAGTTGCTTAACCATTTATGCAGATCTTTAGACACAAAGTTTCAATCAAAATGTCAGAAAATTCTGCTGTCAGAGAAGGGCCCATTAGAGGTTCGGTCATATTTGTGGCTGGTAAGTGAGTGCTTGGGTAACATACGTAGCAGGAGTTACCTTGAAAGGTTTGGTGAGATGAATAAATGTGTTCCATGGGCTTGTATCGCTACACGTCTGCACTCTGTAGATGTTGCAAAAGAAGGTCTTGGGAGTGATAACTCTCCCGAGGGAACTGCAGTCATTACTTCTGACATGCTTGATGGCTCCCTAGCTTCTGCTGAAGCTATAAGATCTGCTGAGGGACGTGCCTTCTGCTTTCTGCCACTCCCAGTATTTACTGGCCTTCCTGTGCATGTCAATGCTTACTTTGAGTTGTCATCAAACAGAAGAGACATATGGTTTGGAAATGACATGGCAGGGGGTGGGAAAAAGCGGTCAGAGTGGAATACGTTTCTACTTGAAGATGTTGCCGCTCCAGCATATGGCCATTTGATCGAAAAAGTTGGTTCCGAAATCGGACCATGTGATATGTTTTTTAGCCTTTGGCCGATGATGGTGGGATTTGAACCGTGGGCATCAATGATGTTGAAATTCTACAATTATATCTCAGAAGGTAATCTCCGTGTGTTGCATACAAGAGCAAGAGGGGGGCGCTGGGTCTCCACAAAGCAAGCAATTTTTCCTGACTTTTCATTTTCGAAGGCATCCGAACTTGTAGAAGCATTGTCAGATGCTTGTTTACCCATTGTATCTGTTCCTAAGGCTATTGCGGATAACTTTTTGCAAATTCACCCATCACTTCATTTCCTCACACCTCAATTGCTACGGACTCTTCTAGTAAGGAAACAACGTGAGTTTAGAGATAGAACTGCCAAAATCTTGACCTTGGAATATTGCTTGCTTGATTTGCAGAGTCCTTTTCAATCTGAAAGTTTTTACGGCTTGCCACTTTTACCTCTATCAAATGGCCTGTTCACAAAACTCGAGAAGATAGGTTCCAGTGAGCCAATTTATATTGCAAATGGAGATGGGTATGATCTTCTTAAGGATTCTCTTCCACACCAACTTATAGATGTAAACATTTCTGCTGGTCTTTATGGGAAGCTGTGTGAAATAGCTCAAAGTGAGAATTTCAATGTTACTTTCTTGACATGCTCTTTGCTTGAGAAACTCTTTATAAGATTACTGCCAGCAGAGTGGAAGCAAACTAAACAAGTAATCTGGGTACCTGGTTCTGGGGGACATCCAAACCTGGAGTGGGTGAAGCTATTGTGGAACTATCTCAATTGTCATTGTGATGATCTTTCATTGTTGTGTAATTGGCCCATTTTGCCAATAGAAAATAGTTACCTCATGCAGCTTGCTGAAAATTCTAATGTGATCATGGATGGAGGCTGGAGTGAAAATATGCTCTCACTGTTGCTTCGTGTTGGATGCTTTGTATTGATGCGTGACCTTCCAATAGAGCATCCCCAGTTGACACTGTATGTTCAACCTCCAACTGCATCTGGTGTCTTAAATGTATTACTTGCAATTTCTGGGGCGCCAGAAAAAGTAGAGGAGCATTTTAGTAATGCATTTGATGTGGAACTGCATGAACTAAGACGCTATGTTCTCCAGTCCAAGTGGTTCTCTGAAGGCTCACTTAGTAGTATTCACATGGACACAATCAAACACATCCCGATGTTTGAGTCATTCAAGAGCAGGAAGTTTATATCTCTAAGTAGGTCAATAAATTGGCTTACCCCAAACAATGCATGTGATGATTTCTTAAATGATGATTTTTTAAGGGTGGAGTCAGATAAAGAGAGAATTATCCTCAATAAGTATTTTGCTATCAGTGAGCCCGCACATGTTGTATTCTACAAGGATTACATACTCAATCGCATGCCAGAGTTCATTTTAAAGGAAGGGTTCCTCTCAGCTCTTTTACAGGACATGAATATTTTGATTGAAAAAGATGATTTTTTCAAAACAGAAATTTCTAAGACAGCTTTTGTCTCAACTTGCAGTGGGTCCTGGAAAGAACCATTCAGGTGTGTACAATTTGTCCCCTCTCGGCTCATAATGCTCTTACAGTAATACTTAGTGGGATTAGCCCTTTTATATACTCCCTCCGTCTCTTTTTAGCTGCAACGGTCAACATTTCACGTTTGCCAACGCATAACTTTGACCGTCATTATATTTAATTCTGTATTAGTAAAAATAAAATAAAAATCAGATTATAAAACTTAGTAATGAGACGAATTTAACAAAATTTTTCAAAAAAAATAATTCACATACATTAATAAATAAAATGTAGTCAAAGTAAAGTACATGAATAGTGTATATATTTCAATGTTGCAATTAATGTGATACGGAGGATAGTATTATATTTGGGCTTGGTTACTTTGGGTAATCAAGGGTGATAGGATTTATAAGGATGGATTGATTCATTTAGTAAGATCGTATCCTATCTTTACTTTTTAGGTATGAGAAATAGGTAAACGAAGTACATACCGAAGAACTTCATAAATTGAGTAGTTAAGTAATTACTGAACTACTTTCAAAATTGAGGATTTGAGTGCTGGTAAGTTTTTGTCTAACTCATTAATATGCAAGTGAATAGAAGTGGTTTTAACGCTTACATGATACTCTACTTTGATGGGAAAGTGTGCAACTGTGATTCTGTTTTATAACCTTGTTACAATTCTGCAGGCTTTATGATCCCCGTATTTCTGAACTGAAACTGCTGCTCTATCCTGGAGCATTCTTTCCAGACGAGTGCTTTTCAGATCCTTTTGCGTTAGAGGTTCTTGGAAAGCTGGGGCTCAGGGAAACGTTAGGGTTTACTGGTTTGCTTGACTGTGCTAGGACGGTGTCAATGTTGCATGATTTGAACGAGTCTGAAGCAATAGTGTATGCTAGGAGGCTGCTTAAATTGCTGGAGGCAGTTGCACTAGGATTCTCGTCCAATGATGAGGGAGAAAGCTTAGGAAATCCTAAAACTGCAAAGGAATGTCAGATTAAAAGCCTCGCTATTGTTGATGAGGAGAAACATACTGCTGATGGTTTTGAGAGCACTCTCTTCAGCTTCAGTTTTCTCTTCAGCCACTGGATTGATGATATGCCGCAAGAACAGTTTTGGTCTGAATTAAGATCTATCAGCTGGTGTCCAGTATATGATGATCCACCTATAGGTGGACTTCCGTGGTTTGCAGCTGGCAAGAACATAGCAATGCCATTTAGTGTCAGGCCGAAGTCACAGATGTGGATGGTGTCTTCTATGATGCATATCTTGGATGGGGATTGTTCAGATATGCTACAATGTAAACTTGGCTGGAACAGTCGTTTGAATGTTGATATTTTGTCTACACAGTTAATTGGCTTATCCAACTCTTATGCTAAGATTTGTGAAAATTTGGATACAGTACCTAATCTTGATTCTGAATTGCAGAAGCACGTATATTCAGTTTATAAGCAGATGCAAGAATACATTCATACGGAAGACTTTGAGTCTCTTAAATCTGCATTAGTCGGCATTCGCTGGGTCTGGATAGGAGATGATTTTGTATCCACTGATGTACTTGCATTTGATTCTCCATTGAAATTTAGTCCTTACTTGTATGTTGTGCCATCAGAGCTAGCTGAATTCAGAGATTTGCTTGTGGAATTAGATGTGAGATATAATTTTGAGGTTAATGATTACTTGCATGTTCTGCAAAAGTTACAAAATGACGTAAAAGACAGCACCCTTTCATCCGATCAATTGAGCTTTGTTCATTGTATTCTGGAAGCTATTGCAGATTTGAGGCTCGATTTATTAAAGTTTGAAGGTTCCGTTAGTCAATTACTAATTCCAGATTCTTCTAGTGTTCTTGTGAAGTCAGGAGAACTTGTTTACAATGATGCTCCATGGATGCAGAGTGACACCCTTGTTGGACAACGGTTTGTACATCGTTGCATCAGCCATGATCTTGCTCAAAGATTGGGCATCCAATCACTTCGTTCTGTCTCTTTAACAAGTGAAGATATGATGAAAGATTTGCCATGCATGGACTACTCTAAAATACATGACCTTGTAGAGCTGTACGGAAGCAGAGACTTCCTTTTGTTTGATGTGCTTGAGTTGGCAGATTGCTGCAAAGCTAAAAAGCTGCACTTTATTCTTGACAAAAGAGACCATCCATGTCAGTCACTTATGCAAAATAATCTTGGTAATAGCTTCCACTCAACCTACTTATGCCTTGCAGATATTAATTTTCAATATATATACATATATTTATATATATATATTGAAAATACTCCTTCATCCTTCTAAATTGTGAAGAAATTAGTTTGTTAGCAACACTTATTTGTATAAACTAGATTCTCACCCGTGCGATGCACGGATCGCAATTTAGCATCAATTATATTGTAATCTTAGATAACTTTATCAGCTGAAAACATTTAAAAAAATCATGTGTGTAGATATATTAAAGAATTATTATTTTTGAATGTGTATTAAAGAATAATAGTAAATGTAATATTAATGAAAATTCATATAAGAAGTTATAATAGGAATGGTCTCATGAAAACTGGTGGAAACAATATTTTAAAAAAAAGAATAAATATTTACCCCTATGTCCACTAAATTTTGGCACTATTAAATTTTCTTCGTCAATGTACTGTTTTTAATATGAAATTAATTCAAAAATGAAAAGTAATAAAAAACATTCTATGTTAAATGTACTTCTACAAAAGTATAAAATTTATGAGCCCATTTGGTGACCCTATTTAATTAACAACCTTATTAGTCAACTTTTTCACCAAATCACGTAGAGCCCGTTTGGTAACCTCATTTTTCGATTTATCAAGCTTCTCATACAGTTTTTTCATCAAACAAACTTTTGATTTCACGCGCTGAATTGTGTAATAGTAAGAAAAAGTAAGGTTGAAGCTACTTTTCTGGCTGTATACGCTGAAGTTAATGTAGACAACAATTTTAGCTATTTTTTCATATATTTTTTATTTTATTAATAAAATATATTTAAAGCAATAGAATCGGCCAATCCAGCCACTTTGGCTAGAACTTCATAAATTTTAGCAAAATCAGCTGATTCACTCGATTTTGGTATTACCAAACGGACTCATAACTTTTCATTTCGCGCTCTGAGATGTGTTACAATCAAAATAAATAGGGTTGTAGTTTTTTTATGGCGAGATTGACTGAAGTTAACGTGGAAGATCATTTTAACTATTTTTTCGTATAATTTTATATGTAACTTATTAATAAATATATTTCAAATATAATTTTTCATAATTTTATCAAAATCCGTCAATCCAGCTACTTAAGCTAGAATTTGATAAAATTTTACGTAATCAATTGAATCATCTAATTTCATTGTTTCCAAACGGGCTCTATAGAATTTGATATAATTATATACATATATTTATATATATTGAAAATACTCCATCATTCTAAATTGTGAAGAAATTAGTTTGTTAGCAACACTTATTTGTATAAATATTACCCCTTCTGTCCCTAAATGAGAGTCCCATTTTTTTGGGCACAAAGATTATAGATCAAGGAGTATAGACATTCCAAATTTGCCCTTAATTTTTTTCCATTTCCTTTCTCGGTTCCTGATCCAACTAAAGCTAAATAGCCGACCCTTCTTCATGGTATCCCTCCACTGCCATTTCTTTTCTATGGAGTCCTCCTCCCCTTGGTTTGTTCCTAGCTCCGGAGTTTCTTCCGTAGTCGCGGCCATCTCGCCGTCATCCTTTTCCATGGTGTCTCTTCAAGCGACACTTTCGACCGCTAGTTTTGTTGTTGCATCTTCACCGTTCTTTTCTGGGTCATCTCACATAGGCTTCACATTGGGGTTCGGTTGTGTGAGGGTGATGATGATAAGAGAGAGAAGACCGGATCAAGATTGAGGTTCAAATTGGGTAGGGTTCTATGAGGAAGATGGTGATAAGATAGATGTGGGAATAACTGGGGTGAGGAAGAACGCGGGTGATATAGAAAAGGGGGAGAGGGGTGAGGAAGAAGACAGTGTGATATGAAAGAGGAGGAAGGAATAATTGGGGGCTGGGAAATAATTAGAAGGGTAACATTGGAATTGCACCTAATAATATTTGCCAAAAAAAGAAATGTGTCATTCTGGGACAGCCAAAAATGGAAATACAGGACTATCGATTGAGACAAAGTAAGTATTGGATATTGATTATAGTTAATGATTAACACACACAATTAGAATATATTCGATGAGCGCGGCTTAATGACAAATATTATGATGAAAACAAAAAATAAAATAATCAACGATTAACAACCGTTGCCCAAGCTTAAAGCTAAAACTCTAAGTCTTAATAAGAATAGGAATCCTAATTAAACCATACTAGGAAACTAAATAGAATAGGAAACCTCTAATTCTAATAAGAATAGAAGTCCTAATTAAACCATTCTAGGAAACTAAATAGAAATAGGAAACCTCTAATTCTAATAAGAATACAAGTCCTAATTAAATCATACTAGGAAACAAAATAAAAGGAATAATTAAAATTAATAAATGGCCCACAGCCAGCCCACGAAGGTGGGCTCAAGCCCGTCCCCGCCCCTGCTCTCGTTCAATCCATCCTCCTTCAAAATAACCTTGTCCTCATGGTTGAAATCTCGCAGATCGAGGGCTGAAATTTCCTTCTGTACCCCCTGGTCTTTCTGAACCTTTTCCTGGCTGGTTATTTCACAATACTAATGCTGTTGGAGTTCCAACTCCTCATCCTCCTCAGCAATCATTACCCACAACTGCTTAAAGGGGCAGTCATGCCCTGGTGTAAATGGTTTTTTACACCTAAAACATAATCCTTTCGCCTGCAATTCTGCTAACTCTCTCGGCGGAAGTCGAGTGAACTGAGAGCGTGCCGTAGACTGCCCGGACAGCCCTGAGTTTGTCCCCGGGGGCTGTCCGCTATCTTTCGGGAAGCTGCCATTCGATCCCTGTATGCTGCCGCCACCACTGGCAGTCAACGGAGGACCCGTGTTTGGCAGTGAAAAGCTGCTGGAACGTGTCCCTGCAGGATTAAAATTTGGACTGCCTCTTCCTCCACTCTGAACCAACCGATTATACTCCACATTGCAAGCTAATTCCATGGCCTCTTCCAAGTTATTCGGTCGCAATAAGCGTAGCGAGCTTCAAATTGATTCTTTTAGTCCATTCATATAGTATCCCAAATAATGTTCATCAGACAATTTCGGAACTTGGCTGGCCAACTGAACAAACAGGATATTGTAGTCCACTGATCTGATCTGTTTGACACTGGACAGTTGTTCAAACCTGTTCCCTTTAAATCGGGAGTCGAATCTGGCCACCAAAGCTTGTTTGAATTCTCCCCAGGTCATGCCGGGTTTTCGCGTTCTCAACCAGGTTACCCAATAGAGGGGCCCACCCCCTTCCATGGCAACCACAGCAGCTGCCACTTTTTTCTCCAATAGGGTTCCATTTAATTCAAACTGTTGTTCAGCCCGAGCTATCCGGCCGATAGGGTCTTCACCGTCGAACATGGCAGCAAGGTTGGAGGGGTGCTGCGCGGAAACCCCTCGCTGTTGTGCGCTGTGACGTCGATGCTGCCCACCGCATCCGGTGATGTCTCCGTCATGATCGGTGACAGAAGGGCCTTGGATAGCGCCTCTAGGGATGCAGCGATTTCAGCTAGCTGCATGCCGTGTTCTTCCAGGGTGTGATTCATCCGGTTTTGCTCAATCCCCATTCGGGCTTGTCCAGCCTCCATCTTTGTCAAACGATCCTTCAGAGATCTCGTCATTCCGGCGGGACGGGATCCGGCAGGTCGGACCAATTGATGAAAACAGAAAATAAAATAATCAACGATTAGCAACCGTTGCCCAAGCTTAAAGCTAAAACTCCAATATTATTAGTTCATGATTCCAACGGCCCTCCTTAGGGGTTTAAATAACCCTCTAAGTCTTAATAAGAATAGGAATCCTAATTAAACCATACTAGGAAACTAAATAGAATAGGAAACCTTTAATTCTAATAAGAATAGAAGTCCTAATTAAACCATTCTAGGAAACTAAATAGAAATAGGAAACCTCTAATTCTAATAAAAATAGAAGTCCTAATTAAATTATACTAGGAAACAAAAAGGAATAATTAAAATTAATAAATGGCCCACACCCAGCCCACGGAGGTAGGCAGTTAACCGTAAAAGATAGTATCTAACATGAGGTGTTTATATAAATGTGCCAGACTTGAAGTTACCGATATATATTTAAGAAATTGGCCTAAATAGGAGTAAAAACGTTCGGGAATTCCAAAATAACAGTACTATGTTTTTATTCCCTGAATAGGAGTAATTACTGTGAAGCTTGGAAAATATTGCCACTTACATGACAGTTCATGGCACTAAATTTTGAGGATGACAGTAACGTACTCCTATTTGGAAAAAAATTCAATATTCCTATTTTGGAATTCTCAATCGTGTTCACTCCTATTTTGCGATTTGTCCCTTTATTTTATTTAAGCACAAACTAGTTTTGAATTTCCATCATTTGCAATGGAGTCAAAGACTCATTATTTTTTGGCTTAGGAATATGATGAAATAAAGCAAAACGACTCACTAAACTGTCTCCGCTTCTTTGTTATGAAACAACAAATCGTCCATGCAATTTTGACGTGATTTTCACTATGGGTCATCCGGAAACAGTCTCTCTGTACTTTTGTAGAGGGGTAAGGCTGCGTACATCCGACCCCCCTTACCCCACTCTAGGCGGGAGCCCTTGCGGCATTGGGGTAATGACGACGATGACAAACTAGTTTTGAATCACATGCTAAAATAAGCGTTTTCTTTCGTCTCCCGATGTAGCTGGGAATATGGTGTCAATGATAGTAACGTATCTAGTCAAAGTAGCAACATTAAGTTGTATCTCGAAGATGTGTCTTTGTTACATGAAGTAGTTGCGGTCCTTTTAAGTAGCTATTCGGTAAGTCTTTGAATAATACTGACATCAACTCATATTTTCTCCTAATTTAAAAAACAATATATATTTTTAGAGTTGCTTTAATTTTATATGCGGGACATTCCCGATAACCACTCACTCATCAACCCCGCACCCCATAAAAGTGAATTAATAGCAGAGACAAAGGGCGTGTTTGGAAAATGATGTATCAGCAAAAAATAGTGCTTTGATCTTTTTAAGCATTTTCAATCAGTGAAAACGCTGATCCATGTTCAATGAATAGCTATTCGGCCTTGGCATTTTTGGACAGAACCGCTGAAACTGAAACACTGCAAATAACAGTGTTTTGAGTTTTTAGCATTTAGAAACAGCACATCTTTTTGCAAATATCTACTAACCGCGGCAGCCAAACAACTAAATTATCAAACGTCTTTTTGCAACGTGCCAACTCAATCCACTAGTCAAATCCGCTGACTGAATCCGCTATCAACAATCTGCTAACTCCTTATAGCTAACCGCTGAGGCGCTGATTGCAAAATACGCCCAAAGTATGTTAACAACACATAGAAAATAATCAAAATATACCCTTAATTTGTTGAGACTCAATACCCAAGTTTATGATGTCTCTCCTTATCCATGAACCATGGATAACTTATTGGTATTGGTTATGTGCTTAAGTCAAATGCAACATCTATGTTTCTATAAAATGCAACTCTACAGATGTGCTACCGACCTTACTATGGGCATGTTACATGTATCAACACTCAACACGTAGGGGAAGAGCCAGGATTCCGGATTCCGGAAGTGGCAGAACGATTGACCATGTTACTGTTAAAGCGAGTGGTCTGGTTTGTTTGGGATTATTATTTTTATTTTCCTAACAAAATATTATTGTTATTTCCATGTTCAGTTTTAGGCACCTTATTAGCCTTAATCTTTCTGTTTGCTATTAATTAGTTCTTTTGTAGTCCTATACAAGGAACCACAACATTAATTAATAAACTACATTTTTAGAATTGACTATGCATGTCTTGAAGAGGTCAGGCATTAAACTAATTCAATTTTAGACCTGGTCAAAGCTCTCTCCTGACAAATCTGCCATGCAGGGATAGATCCTAAATCAATTCAGATATCCAGCGCTTTTTCTCTTCCTACTTGTCCCTAGTTGAGATAATGCACCCGTGGCATCTTGTGCTTTGTTTTTCTTCTTCCAACTTGAAAATTATGTATGCATTTGCTATTCAGGATATATGTTTATGATTCTTCCCTTATTTAAAAACATGTAATTAGGTGCATCTGTTCATGTTTGTAGATCATCTCTTGCAGTGCTTAAAATATCAAATCAGATTTGACATTTTGTTAGGTATCTAACAATTTCACTAGAGATTTCAAGAATCAAAGATGAAGAAAAGAGATGTCGTATAACAGAAAGTATAGAAAGAGAAATACAAAGGCAGTTAAAGAGTGCCTACTCTCCAAAATCCCAGACCCAAATAACAATTCCAACCTCCTTTCTATTCTCCCTCACCCTCTATTTATACTAACTATTCTAATATTATTATTATTCTTATTATTATCAGTGCTATTCTACTGGAGTCCTATCATATCTCCCCCTTTGAACATCCACCTTGTCCTCAAGGTGGGTGATAGGAAACCGACTTGACCTTCAACTTTATCTTCATCCTGGCGCCTCTCCCTTCCCAGTACCTAACTGATTGTGGGACCATGAACTTCATTGCCTGGAGAACACACTGATTGTTGGGATCTTTGTAATTGTTTTGATCTTTGTCTTCAATTTCCTTCTTTGGATGTACTGGCTGGCCGAGTTCTATTAAGCACAAAGCAAGTTCTTCCCTATTTTCACATGAGGTTTCACCTTCCCATTTCTCAGTATTTTGATGAATACCCAAAGATGCCTGGCAGCTTACAAACACCACAACCAATTTAGATCCTGCTGCCATGTACTGCCGGATGCATACTGGGGAATTGGCAAGCGAAGAGAGAACTGCACATTGATACCCATCAACACTTGGGAAAAAAGAAACTTCAGTGTTGGGTTCATTGATCAAGTATGTTGTTTTCTCAGAGCCAGAGCTAAGCCTGTAATAGTAAAATTGGCAAGATTCTTTACCAATAACAACACTCAAAGAATTAGTGGCAGAATCTAGAGCTGTTATTGCTGCACTAATACTAAGTCTCTCAATACCATTCACACTATTTCTACAAAGTGACATGTGAGCCATGTGAATTTTTCTTTCAACAATGCTACCCGGATCAAATTCATCATCCCATCTTAATCTGGAATCAAAGAAGTCCCAATTTACAGAAAATACCCCTTTGCACCCTTCAACCCCAAGAATCAAAAACTGGTCATGACTTTCAACAATATCAACGCACATCTCCATCCATCTCTTTTCCTGAGAATGTTGAGTCGTGGACCAGCACTTGCCATATGAAATCTGTAATCAAAATCTAAACCTCTATCTTGAACAATTATACAAACTAATGGCAGTCCCATAACCACTTCACCAACCTTAATGGCCTCAGAGGAATGACCAAGAGTGAGATCTTTAACAAACATCAGATACATGACAACTTCAACACCGGTAACATATCTCTCATATTCTGTAGTGTTCCCAGTAATTCCTCCTTCCAACCCATTTTGAGTATCCATCATAGAAGTAACACCCTCATATATGAAACTATCAAACTTGTTCAATGACTTCAGCCCTTCCAAAGTAATGTTTAATGAATGATAGTACACCATTTCAGACTTTAAAACATTAGGCCAGTTCATCTCCTGTACGAACCTAGAAGTCATCTTGGACTTTGCCACACAAGCATCAGTGTTACATGTGTGTAGAATCTTGAAAATATTGGTTTCCGAATCTGACTTGACAGACTTGTATTTGAGAAAATGAGCAATTGTGCCAACTTCCGGTCCAATGTTCACTGCCAATTTTTCCGCGCTTCCCTCATCACCCTCAGTGACTTTCTCTGCCCTAGGCGATGAAGAATAAGCTCGCGAAGAAGTCTGAGAACTGGAAACATCTACTCCAGATGAAGCTTGCAAACTGGGAAAAAATGTTGGCGAGGAATCCTGCGAAAAACTGAGTGTAGCTGTTTGTGAGGAAGATGGTGAACAGTAAGAATCGACGGGTGATGAATATGAGTGGTAAAGATCGGTGAGTGAGGAATCCATCGAACATGGAAATTCTCCTATCGATTGCGTCGCATTTTGACGGGAAATGAGAGCTGATGAAGGATTCTGGGAAAAAATCTGCGAAGAAACCTGCGAACTGGGAGGAACTGTTCGCATCTGCGAACGGGAAGGGACTGTTCGCAACTGCGAACTGGGCTCTTGTGCTTGCGACGATGCGGACGGACTGCGAGAAGAAGTTTGTGACCAATCCTGCGAACTCAAAGAAACGGTTCGCGACTGCGAACTGTGAGACGAAGTTCGCGACTTACCTCTGGCTTCAGACGATGTAGGACTCTCATGTACAGTGTGACGCCTTGAAGTTCTTGATTTTCTTCGTTCATGTCGAGCGTTCTACTGCAGGATCAATTCGCGCCATTCCGCCATCTCTTTCCGGATTTCTTCGCGATAGCGTTCAAAATTGCGTTCCAGGATCTCCAGTCTACTTTCCATCGTTCCTTGAGTAGCTGACGCTCTGATACCAATGTTAGGTATCTAACAATTTCACTAGAGATTTCAAGAACCAAAGATGAAGAAAAGAGATGTCGTATAACAGAAAGTATAGAAAGAGAAATACAAAGGCAGTTAAAGAGTGCCTACTCTCCAAAATCCCAGACCCAAATAACAATTCCAACCTCCTTTCTATTCTCCCTCACCCTCTATTTATACTAACTATTCTAATATTATTATTATTATTATTCTTATTATTATCAGTGCTATTCTACTGGAGTCCTATCACATTTTCTTCTGTTATGCTTGTTATATTCCTATGAATTATTTAAGAAGGCGGATGCATAATATTTACATTGTAGGCGATTTTCAAGGTCCCGCACTGATAGCTATTGTTGAAGGGGGCAGTTTGAGTAAAGATGAAGTAGCTAGTCTTCAATACCTTCCTCCATGGAGTCTGCATGGGCAGACAGTTAATTATGGACTAGGGCTACTTAGTTGTTTCTCAATAACTGACTTTCTGTTCGTTGTTTCTGATGGCTGCTTGTACATGCTTGATCCGAGAGGTTTAGTTCTTCCTTTGTCTGAGAATCGTACATCTACTGCAAAAGTGTTCTCACTTCGAGGTATTTTCACTTTCCATATTATATCTCATATTAGGCTATTAACTTTATGATACCGTTAACAAGTTTTTCTTGTAAGTTTGTATAGGAATTAGTATCATTATAGTAAAGGTATCTATTCAGTATAATGTAGCATGTATGGGAATGGAAATGTTGGGAAATTGCTACTGATCTGGAGGGTTATCTGGTTACTGCCCTGTCAAGCAAACACACTACATTAAGACATTAGGTCTTGTAGGTTCTTATCGATGGATTTATTATCTCTCGTTGCCTACCCTTGAAATTGAAGCCAATTGATTATTATATCATTTTTTTGTTAAATTTCTAGGTACTAATTTAGTAGGACGGTTTCATGATCAATTCAGTCCTTTGCTGATTGGTGAAAGTATGCAATGGTCTGAGTCAAAATCTACCATCATACGTATGCCACTTTCTTCAGAAATCATGAAGGAAGGAATTGAATCTGGCTTGGCAAGGGTTACCATGATATTTAAAAAGTTTATCGAGCATTCCTCAGCATCTATCTTGTTTCTAAAATCTGTTTTGCAGGTATATACGCGATCATCTTAGTTGCACTTGCTATGAGTATGCACATACTTCTTATTTGGTTCTAAATACTGGTTTTAGATTGGTTAATTTCTTATTCAGTTTGTTTGCGTCTCAAAGTTTTGAGGATAAAGAAGGAAGTCGTGTCATTTTTTTTTTCATTTTCATTTACCCCAGTGCCGCAATGGCTCCCAGCTACGGTGGGTAAGGGGGGGTCGGATGTACGCAATCTTACCCCTGTACTAAAGCACAGAGAGACTTGCTGCTTCAAAGCATTTTATCCCATATATAATATACAGTTGAAACTTGAAACTGGTTTGATACCTTTTCTGTTAAAATTTGATTTCATTGGTAGCTCGTCTTTTTCTGCTTTTAGTCTTTTAAGCGTCGTGTTTCTTTTTCTTTAAATTACACAGGTTTCATTGTCAACATGGGAGAAAGAAAGCCTTCAGCCCACCTTGCATTATTCAGTTGATGTGGATCCCTCATTTGGTATCAAAAGGAACCCCTTTTCAGAGAAGAAGTGGAAAAAATTCCAACTAGCAAGTTTATTTTGCAGCTCAAGTGCTGCAGTGAAGCTGCAAATCATTGATGTGAATGAGCTGAAAGGAACGAATAGAGTAACAAGTCGTTGGCTTGTTGCTCTTAGTCTTGGATCTGGACAAACAAGAAATATGGCACTTGATAGGTACGTTGGAAAGGACAGAATCAATCATGCTTGTATTTCTTGAAATAAATGCCAGTCAATTAATTAGAGTCATGCACTATGTATGCGGAAATGGGACGAACGTATTTCTTTGCTAAACTATATTAGGAGACCCCTTTTTCTGCAAGTACTCAATGTGCTTATGCCAGACCTAGCACGTCATGGTTTTTATTATACAAGCTAGAGTTACACAATCATTCCACAAACCCCCTCAAAGTGGATCATGTATGTGGAAGTGTGTGCTAGCTGCTAGGTGTGTTAATGAATGTGCGTTTTAAAGTTAGACTGGTATTTTCTTGTATAGTAGCTGTTTATTCTTTGTCTAGCAGGCAAGATGCATGCTATTTAAGAAGTGGTGTATAATCATTCTCTTGAGGCAAAAAATGAATGTACAATTCTATGTTACCTCTCAATCATCTTTACTCTGATTTTACATGGTATCAGAGCCACCTTTTCTAGCCCCTCTCCTCCCCAAAAAATCCACTACACTGTTGTGACCAGGGCCAAATCTGCATCATCAAGTATGACCACCAGTGATGGAGCTTCTCGATCTGATTCAACACAAATTCCATTTTTCACTAAGTGTATTATCTCACTGCCCGTTTTTAGCATCTTCAAGTATCTGCGACCTTATCTTGAGATTCCAGACTTCAGTAAACTAGACCCATGTGTAGCCGTAATCCTGAACAATGTGGTCTTTTCCAGCATGGAATTTGAGTACAACATTCACCTCACCAGCTACTATTACTTCGGAAAAAACTTATAGTGAACAACACCAAATACTCATCCTGGGACATGATATATGCGATCACGTAAGTCCGATATCATATGTCCGATTCATGTTAGCCGATCTCAAACTCTTTTGGGAGTAAGGCTTTGATATTGTTGTTGTTGCTGCTGTGTTCTTAGACATTTTGATCAACAGAAATAAGTCTTTTTCCACTTAAGTTCTAAATATATTGAGAAATGTTTATATCACCCATAAGAAGGGGATCAGAACTCTGATTCTGCACTACTTCTAGCAACCCCATTTTGCTTCTTACTTCTCCAACTCACTAGATTTCCCATACATAAGTACAATATCCGGAAGTGGTTCTTCGATCAGTAATGGAACCATCAGTCTTCATGTGCATAAGCCTCAACTGTTCTATTGTTGCCCTTTTTGAAGAATAATTGTTTCCCTGGACAACGTGTTAAGTACCTGTAACTCTGTAAGTAGCCTCAAGATGCTCCTTATATGGACAATGCATAAATTGACTGGCCATGCTGACTGCAAATGCAATATCTGGTCTTGTATGTGCCAAATAGATCAGTCTTCCCATCAATCTCTGATATTGTTGAATATTTATTGGGACTTCATCTTTAATATCTCCCAATTTGTGATTCAGATCAATGGGAGTATCTGCTGGTCTACACACTCATTCCCGTTTCTTGAAGAAGATCCATGACATAATTACTCTGTGAGACACCAATTCCTTTCTTTGATCCTGCTATCTCCATGGCAAGAAAATACGTCAACTCTCCTAGGTCTTTGACCTCAAACTCATGAGCCAGCTTCTTTTTTAGACTTTCAGTTTCTTTAACCTCCTGTAAGGATAATATCATCTACATAGACGATCAGTATTGCAATCTCCCCTTTACTTGAGAACTTCATGAAGAGTGTATGATCAGTGTAGGTTTGAAGAATTAATCTTCCTTGAATATTATTGAGCCATCCGACAATGATATATATACAAGTTACAGATAAAGCCTAGTTGTTACAGATCCTAAAATATAGGATCTATCTATTCTGCAAGCTTATCTACTTAGTTAGAGAGTTCTATCTACTCTAAGTCTTATCTATACAGTTCCGGATGTACAAATAATTAAAATAACAAATATATGTTACATTTTTCTACACTCCCCCTCAAGTTGGTAAGTATATATCATACATTCCCAACGTGCTTATAAGTAGTTCAAACACTGGTTTAAACAGCCCCTTTGTAAAGATATCAGCTGTTTGTTCTTTGGTAGATATGAATGGTGTACACACAATTCCAGCTTCAATCTTCTCTTTGATAAAATGCCTGTCCACTTCAATATGTTTAGTACGATCATGTAGCTCAGGGTTGTGAGCAATATTAATGGCGGCTTTATTGTCACAATATAACTTCATAGGTAGTTCCATTTTAATATTCAACTCTGAAATCACTCTCTTGATCCAAAGCAGTTCACAGATTCCATTAGCCATAGATTTGAATTCAGATTCTGCACTACTTCTAGCAACTAAGCAACCACATTCTGCTTCTTACTCCTCCAAGTCACTAGATTCCCCCATACATAGGTACAATACCCAGATGTAGACCTTCTATCAGTTATTGAGCCAGCATAATCTGCATCTGTAAAAGCTTCCACACTTCTATTGTCACTCTTTTTAAAAAATAATCCTTTCCCTGGACAGCTTTTCAAATACCTTAGGATTCTGTAGGTAGCATCTAGATGTTCCTGGAATGGATTATGCATGATTTGGCTAACCATACTAACTGCAAAGGCAATATCTGGCCTTGTATGTGCCAGATAAATCAATCTTCCCACCAATCTTTGATATTGTTGAACATTAACTGGTACTCCTTCCTTGACATCTCCTAACTTTTGATGAGGATCAATTGGAGTATCTATTGGTCTGCAAGCACTCATACCTGTTTCATGGAGTAGGTCTAGTAGTACATACTTCCTCTGAGATACCACAATTCCCTTCTTTGATCTGGCTATCTCCATGCCAAGAAAGTACTTCAATTCTCCCAGGTCTTTGATCTCAAATTCCTGAGCCAGCTTCTTCTTCAGGTCTTCAATCTCTTTATAATATTCTCCTGTAAGAATGATATCATCCACATAAACAATTAACACTGCAATCTCTCCCTTAATTGAGAACTTCATGAATAGTGTATGGTCTGCTTGGGCTTGCTTGAATCCCTGCCTCTTTATGAATTGAGTAAACCTTTCAAACCAAGCCCTTGCGAACTGTTTAAGTCCATATAAGGCTTTCTCCAGCTTGCACACCTTTGAGCCATACTGTTCCTCAAACCCAGGAGGGGGGCTCATGTATACTTCCTCTTAAAGCTTCCCATTTAAGAAATCATTCTTCACATCTAACTGTTGAAGAGGCCAGTCTAGGTTATCAGCTAGAGATAGAAGGATCCTTATAGTATTTAATTTTGCAACTGGAGCAAAAATTTCTGTATAATCTATGCCATAGGTTTGTGTATATCCTTTGGTAACGAATCTGGCCTTATATCTTTCAAGTGTACCATCTGCCTTGAATTTAGGGGTAAATACCCATTTGCATCCCACTGTTGGTTTGTTCTTGGGTAATTCCACAACCTGCCATGTATGATTCTTTTCAAGAGCATTCATTTCTTCTAAAACAGCCTTCTTCCACTCAGGTTTAGATAGAGCTTCCTGTATGGTTAAGGGAATAGAAACAATGGAAAGACTAGAGGTAAAGGGTATTTAACACATGATCTTTTTTCTTTTCTGAGAGCAATGGGAAGATTTAGATCACTGGAATTATTACCTTTGTCATTTTCTGACATTGAGTCAGATTCATGAGCAGTGGCAGGATCAGGGATGTCCTCTATTCTTTGATTTGTAACTCTCCTTTCATAAACCTTACCAAAAAATTTACTTGTCTGCTGTTCATCATCTTTCCTTGTCTCAGAAAATTTTATTTCATTTTCTTTTGATTCTTGACTATTTTCCAGTGCATCTAACTGTCTATTATATTGTGCTTCTAGACTAATGTCAAGAAATTCAAGTTTTTCATGGATATGTGACACATTATCACCATCTTCATTAGGAATCCCCCCCTGAAGATGAGTACCAAAAAAAGTTGATTTTCAACAAAAACAGTGTTCATTGTTACGAACATCTTTTTTGTTGTAGGGTCAAAACATTTCTAGCCTTTCTGTGTTGAAGATAGTCCTAAGAAAACACATTTTTTGCCTCTAGGATCAAATTTGCTTGCAGTTCTGTCAGGGTTGGTAATAAAAACTATGCAGTCAAAAATTTTTATGGGAAGAGAGTTAATAAGCCTAGTTTCAGGAAAACTGGCTTGAAGTGTATCAATAGGAGTTTTAAATCCTAGAGTCTTTGATGGCATCCTATTAATTAAATAGGTAGCATGTAAAACAGCTTCTCCCCATAAATATTTTGGAATTCTAGCAGAAAACATAATTGCACGAGTGACTTCAAGCAAATGTCTATTTTTCCTCTCAGCTATTCCATTCTGAGCAGGTGTATTTATACAGGAACTTTGATGAATATCCCTTTTTCAGCAAAAAAATTATTTAACTTCTTAGAAAAATACTCGAGACCATTATCACTTCTCACAATTTTGATATTAGTATTGAATTGAGTCTGAATCATTGAGTAAAATTTCTTGAACACCTCTTCAACCTCAGATTTTTCTTTAATTAAAAAAACCCATGTGACCCGTGTGTGATCATCTATGATAGTTACAAACCACCTTTTTCCTTTCAAAGTTGAAACTCTAGATGCACTCATGCACCCCAAATATCACTGTGTACAATAGTAAAAGGACTAGTTGGCTTGTAACTATGAGGGATATAAGAACTCCTATGATGTTTGGCAAGTGCACACATATCACAATGAAATGATGAAGAATTTTTATTATGAAATAACTTAGGAAACAACATTTTTAGATAGTAAAAACTTGGGTGACCTAATCTATAGTGCATTAAATACACTTCATTATTACAAGGAAAGGAAATAGTTTGCAGACAAGTTTTTTCTTGACCTTGTTTTTCAATTGTGTTCCTTCATCAAAAACATAGAGGCCATCCTGCTCTCTAGCACTGCCAATCATCCTCCCCGATGCCAAATCCTGAAAAATGCAATAAGAAGGATAAAACTTTACACAACACTGAAGGTCTTTGGTTATTTTGCTAATAGAGATAAGATTGCATGAAAGTTTTGGAACATGT